ATACAATACTATAATTGTTTTAAATTGTATAAATACGCTATGGTTATCCATGCTTGTTGCCACACACATACACACACATACACACACACACATAGACATACACACACACACATAGACATACACACCCATACACACACATACACACACATACACACACACACATAGACATACACACACACGCATAGACATACACACCCATACACACACATACACACACATACACATACACACACACATACACACACACATACACATACACATACACATACACATACATACATACACATACTTCAACACATGTAGAAACACAGATACTCAAACACGCATGCACGTGCATGAATACACACAGAGAAACACACACAAAATATACATATACACACGCATGTACATTCTCACACTTCAAAACACACACACACACACACACACACACACACACACACACACACACACACACACACACGGGCATGCACGAATACACACACTGATACTCACAAAAGCACACACGCACACGCGCACACAAGAATATATGTGTGTATGTGTGTACGTGTAAGTGTATGTGTATGTGTGTGTACGTGTGTGAGTATGAGTATGTGTGTGTACGTGAGTGAGTATGAGTATGTGTGTATGTGTATGTGTGTATGTGTGAACTAAACTTGGACATTTCCCCAGCATCTCCCCCAGCACCGTGAGCATGCGACAGAGCTGAGTCACCACTGTCAATCTCTGTCACCGTCACCGTCACCTTGATGCTTTCTTTGTCCTATCTCCATTTTTTTTCAAACATCGAAAATGTGACTTCTTCTTACGTTCACACTTTGTTATGAACTGTTTTCACTATTATAAAAAAGGGAGATAGGACAAGAAAACACTGGGGTCGTGCTCACCTTTGACCTTTTCACTGCTCTTTAAATAGCTCATCGAGTACTCTGGCAAACTGTTCTCGTCAAAATAGGAAACACTTTGGTCCCTTATCAACACAATCTGCTCGCTTTGGATGAAATTCTCGCCAGTGTTTTATCTCATGCTTTCTGGTTTCAGGGCAGGGCATTCTGGCTTTTTTAGTTCAGTCAATGGCTCAGAATACAATAACTGAACCTTTCAATGCAATACGGTCTTTTTCTTTTATCCCGTACGACCTATTATAGATTGTATTCTCTGCAATGCTGGAAATATCATAATTTTAGTTTCGATGTTTTTCCTCTCCCATTACTATCGCTGTCACCAGCAAATTGCGTGCTAGTGTGTCTTTGTACGAGAGTGCGTGAGTGCAGATATGCGTGTTTACACGAGCTTACGCGCGCTTGAAGACCCCCCCCCCTTCCAACGAAAAATAAACAAACAAACAAACAAAAAACAAAAAAACCACCACCACCAACAACAACAACAAACTAACAAACAAGCAAACAATTTTTTAAAAACGTATTTTCCATTTTGGCTGTTGTATTACATTACCGAAAAAAGTTTATTAGCAATTGGTAAGAGATTTACGGCTCTCGCAACTGCGTAAGGATATAATATTATGACAACTGGCAAGTATAGAGTTGGATCTGGGAAGAGGCAATCGCTCAGCGCCTAGATGTGTCAAACCTAGAGTCCCCCCCCCCCCCAAATAGGGCAGTGCTACTGTCTAAAGTTGTCTTTGGGCCATTCCGGAACGGGGGATATTGACATGTTCTTATGCACAGTAAAATTGTAAAAGGGCTGATTTATCAATATCAATGCCATGCTCATACTGTGCCGGAACAACATAGGGGGAACTGCTGCTTTTTCTGTCCTCATCCTATTGTTATTTTTCCTCTACATCTTTTGTATGTTTGTCACTCTCTTGTAAATTGCTATTCTCGGGGTGCCTTGATAGTCAAAGCAGGCTTTGTGCTGTTGAGGCTAGATAGGTGAGCAGAGTAAGTCTGATTCCCAGTTTGGACTTCTCTGTTGACAGCCACCACTTGGCGCTCATTTGACCGTATGCAGTTGCGAGCGCCGTAAAACCTTACTAAAACTAAACTAAAAAGCTAGAGAGAAAACCATGGACAGAACAAGCCATATGGCGTTGACTGCGCTTGGTCGTGTGCACGTGACAGTGCGCGGCGAGTGTCACCATCCAGTCTGACACCTTTTGTAGTTCTCAAATTGGGTCACACAATTTGTGGAACAATCTGAAAATGTGTTCTTGAAACATCTGATCGCTTTTAAGGACAAGCTGGCTAACGCAGATTTAAT